AATTTAGCTTCTGGAGCCAGGCTGCTAACATTACTTTGATGCAGTTATGCCTCCAAGGCAGGATTTCCATTATTATGGAGATGAACTGCCTTTAATGATTGCAATAATATAATTGTACCCCAGGGCAGAATTCCTAATAACACAATGGTAGAGCTCTCAAACACCAGTCAGCAATACCTCCAGGGCAGGTTGTTCATTAAGGGCACAGTACACAGTAGTTCTGCCTCCAGAGAAGAATACAAAACCTAAAGCAATAAAGCTCTCTTTTCCAAGATAGGCTGTGCCTTCTAGGCAAACATTGAGCATCGCATTTAGTTCTGCCTCCTGGATAGCAGTAGCCCCCAGAGCAGGATTCCCAGCAGCACATGATACATGTTATTTCTGCCTCTAGACGTTATTCCCTGATATTACACTCTGTCTGCAAAGTCACAAGAGCCCCAAGGTAGGAACTTGAACAATTGCCATGATATGGCAGAATTCAAAGCATCTCATTGGCACATTAACATTGCTTTTAATTCCTCTTGGAATTGGAAGGACTATCCACATCAATTAACCTCCACAGTATCAGAGCTGAGGTTCAGTTAGGAGAAGTATCCAGAAGTTCAGATGCTCGTTCAAAGTTCCCACATTTGCAGAGTTGGCTAGGCTGGAAATTTCGTGGGAACAACTTTTCTCACGTGCTACCCAAAACTTCTGCTCCCAGCCCAGATGAAAATATCCCAGCAACAGCTATTCTTTATGCTCTTCTTTCCATAGATTTCAATATACTTAAGACCAGAAGGGACCGTCATGATCAACTACTTTGACCTGCATAACACAGGTCAGAGAATTTCACCCAATGAGTCCTGCATCAAGTCCAATAAATTGTGGTTGAACAGGAACAGATCTTTGAGAAAGACATCCATCCTGGATTTAAAGGCTCTAGTTGATGCAAGATTTACCACAAGCCTTTGGACCTTTAGCATTTTCAGTCTGACCCCAGGGACTCATTCCTGCTCTTGCCCCTTTGTGCCTGGTAAGAGAGCTGCAGCGGCATAAAGGGGTTTAAGGTGTCCTGGTTCCTGCCAAAGGATTCTCTTGGCACAGGCGCTGCAGAAGATATCCATAAGACTGTGCTGTGAGGATCCCCTTGCAAGCCCTGGCATAGGGATGAGCTGGGGCAGGATGGGCATGGCAGGGCTGTACAGAGTCTGAGCACTGCTGCTGCCCAGAGGGCAGCCAAGATGGCTGCTGTAACTTAGGCCTCTAAAGCTGTCTAAATTACATAGGGGGGAAGAGCCTCCCCCTCCTCTGGGTCTGCAAGTTCTGGGCTGAGTCTCTTAGAGGCAAAACAAACAAACAATCTCAACCTTGGTGTGCCCTGGTGGGATCAAGTATGATCATAAGGCTTCTGTATTAAATTGCCTATTTTGATCTGTATCTAAAATGCAGTCCGTGTGCTTGACCGCTAAAATGGAATGTTAGACTAAGCAAGGGGATCAGGCAGTTTCAACACCCTCCCACAAGGGGGAGACAGAAATCAGGCCTCTGATTATACCCCATTGAGAATGAATGGTTTTAATTTCCCAAACAATGGAGCAGAAGCCATTGCAGGGGCATTCTCCTGCATAGGCCCTGCTGAATGATCCCTGAACCAATGGCTCATCGAGCTGACAGGATTAAGGCACATCAGTTTCACAGCCAATAGTACACAAGGGACTGATGTGGCCAGCATCTCATCCAACTGCCTTTGACTGCCGTAACCTGATGCATAAGGTACCCATTTTGCAGCTGGGTGAACTGGAGGTGGCCTTTCAGTGTGAGATCCCACTGACTAGAAGAACCCAGGTTTAAACACCAGAAGATGCCACATCTTGGCCTGTAAGCAGAGAAACTATTGACCAATATGGTAAGTGGACTCAGAACCCTACACAGAAAGGGGGTGGAGCTTTCTTGAACCAGTCAGAGAGAGACTGGGAGACCCACAGACACACTGGAGGATCTGAGCTTTGTTAGAAGAATGAAAGCTGGATTGTCTCTATTCCTGTAACTTACAGGGAAAGCCTGTCTAACATAGCTTGAAGGGAAGCATAAGACTAAATACGCATACAGGCTGTTTGTTGTTTTAAGATCCATTTTTCTCTGACACATTGTTCCAGCTGCTAAATAAGAGTACTTTGTATGAAGAAGGCTGTTGTTCAATATTGCTGGCCATGGATTCCTGAAGGGAGGATCAAGCAGATGTCCACAAATCTATTTGGACCTGCAGAGTGATAAGTGGTTAGTATATATGGGATAGTGAACTCAGGACCTGGTCTAAGGGCTTGTCTACATGGCTAGTATGTCAAAGCATACGACAGAATTTTTAGTGCACAGTTCACATGGTCAGTGAGCACACAGCAGAGCACACAGTGCACTGTAGATTCACACTCTGGCTTGCACACTAATTCACTGGGTAGAGAAGCCCTAAGAGTGAGAGAACTGCATATTTCCACCCCAAAGCAAGTAATTGCAAGACTCTAGATCTGAGCTAGGTGCATTCAGAGACATTTCCATGGTATGGAAAAACGAAAAGTGGAGGGGGCGGGGTGCATGGAAAAAAACCCCTCTCAGTATTTGGTGCCTTTAAAAAGTTTGAGTTTGAATTTCATTCTAACAATAAATGAAATGTAGCAGATGAGAGAGTTTTTTATATTTCCAAGCAGCCAGGAACCCCAATGGTACCCAGTTTTACATCTGGGCGGGTAGGCTATCATGGATTTGTAGTAATAAATACAGTATGGGAAACTTAGAAGGAAAATTGTCTTATTAAGGCATTAGGGCTAGGAGAAATAATTGGAAGAACAGTAATTCTATTTGGGTCCATATGAAAGAATGTATTGATGTCATGCTTCAGATCTTGCATTAGTCATCATTATCTTCTTTGCTATTTTTTCCACAACTGCATCTGGCTCTTGCCTGGCTCTCTCCAGTGAATATGGAACAGATGTGATACTGCAAATTGCTAAGATTTTTATGAATGAGTAGTTAATATATCGTAGTTAATCTGTGTCCTGTTGAACCATTCATTTATTTGATTATTTTCCCCCCATTAGAAGCCAAAATGATCCCATCTTCATGAACTATTTTGGTGAACCACACTTCCTTAAATTCAAATGGTATCTATTACTTTCCAACTCCAACCCCTTCTGTATCGAAATCTTTTCTAATAGTAACTATAGGAGTTAAAGTAGAGTTTTCATGTTTTAGTTCATATTTTCTTCTGGGAGGATAAGGTTAAAGTCCAAAGAATTGTGCTTGGTCAGCATTGTATCACAGTCAGAGTAAATATTTAGATGAGAAATATATATTCGTATACTTTTCCTTCTAGATAGCCCTTTGTCCAAATAAACCAAGCCTCAGTCACCCCACCACCACTGCACATGAGAAAATGTGCACAGGTGATGCTTATACAAACTCCAGATACTGAGTTTGACTAGTGGAGAATGCAAGTAGAACAGTAAGCTCACAATTCTGAGACAGTAAAGGCTTAAATGTTCAACATTTTTTATTCTCTTTACAGTCTTTTGTCTGAAGAACAAGAGATCTCAGTTTTAAAACCCAATACATCCTGAGTCCCAAACACTTTTTTATAACTTTCATCTAGACTTGCCTCATATTCTAGTTGGCAGAGGTAGCTCTATACTTCATCCACAGGATAAGACTGAACAAAACTCTGCAGTGCTCATCCAAGCACAACTTGTACTTACTTCAATGGGTTCATTGCACGGTGTAGCCCACTTTAAAGAGGGAGTGGGGCAAAATGACTGGTCAATTGAAAATGGCATCTTGAGAGTTCAAAGCAAACAGCACATAAGGCAATAGCTTAATAAATAAATGTCAGATATTGCAAGGCAATGAGCACCCTTGTCTTCATCATGTTTTAGCATCTGGCCATAAATGAGCCTAAATTTTGACATACCCGTTCTAATGTTTGCAATGAGAATGGGGTTATTACAGGTAAGCAGTTCAGATAAAACAAAGCATGAGGCTAGAATTTCAGGTGAATCAAACCTGAGCCAGTCTAAGCACTGAAAACGGTTGGTACATATTTTAAAAGTAGTATTTGGGCACTTCTGCATTTGCTGATTTCGTGCATGACTGATTGAAGGATGAAGGCTAAAGTCATCCTTGTGGGCAGGGGAAAGCCAACAGTACCAGAAATCTTGACAATTTCCATTGACAATATTTTAATAAACACATAGAGCTACATGCATTAATTTGAAGAACTGTAAAATGTCAGCTATCTGCTAGCAGTACAGGATTCTGCTCACTGATCTAATGCCACCAAAATTGGCATGTAACACTATCTCATAAATTCCTTGTGACAAATTTTCAAAGAATGGTTTCCATTGTTTTCCTGTGCATAATTACAAGCACAACTGTTGCACAAATTGGGTAGATAAAGCCATCAGATATCAAAATATTCAGTACCAACACCTGACTGTATGTGCAAAATGTGCAGGTGCAAATTTAGAGGCCACGTTGAGGCTGGTTGCAAATATCATCCTTGGTATAAAATAAATGTGACTTGGCCACTCAGAAAATACTGTCTCCAAGTCACACATTACAATTGCCAAACTAGTTACTGACCCCAAATAACTGCTGTTTGCTGGGAGACGGAATAATTTACAAGGGACAGTAATCTGCAGTAGAGTTTTTCAGGGAGAGGATCTCCTGGGAAATCTTTTTGAAGAACTATGGCTATTTGGAGCAATCCAAAGGCAAAAATATTTGCTCTAGATTATACCTTTAGTGAATAAGCTTCTTGGCAGTTTTTTTTTAACACTCTACAGAGCCTGGGATGAACACAAGAGGAGCAGCTCTCCCACCCCCCAATACCACAGATTGAACACTAGCTGTTTTCACATTTATTTGCAAGTCATTTCCAGGACGCTATTAATGACCATTTTAGCTTTCATTGCTGAAAGCCCTTGGGTTGGAGCAAGCTAACAAAAGTAACGGTTACTTTAAGAGTTTACCTCTCGTTTTCTCTCAGGATCTCTTTTCCTTTCTTCCAAGTATAAGTAGGCCTGGGGGAAGCTTTTGGCTTACACTCTATGATTACTTCACCGCCCACTTTAACAAGAGTTAATCTTTTCAAGAGGGTTTTGGAAAAGTCTGGACCCAAAGCTGAAAAAGAAAAGTAGAAGCTTAGAATTCACTCTGGAAAGAACCAATCGTTTTTTTTTTTTAACATTAGAATATTCTGGTGTATCCGCTCACCAATTTACATTTGTAACTTCCGTAATTATCAGCATCAGGAGCTACACATGCAGATTGATTAGGAAAATAGATACTTCTGTGCTTAAAAGCTTAATTTATTTGGAAAGATGTATTTAATAGCAAAACGTATTGGTAATGAAACCTTAAGATCATGGACCAAATATTCAGCTGGTGTAAAGCAGTGTAGCCCTAATAAAGTCAATGGACCCTTGCTGATTTACTCCATCTAGGGATCAGGCTCCATTTATACAGTGCAATTTGGAGAAGCTCACATCAGAAATACTTATATGTGCAGTGGGGGTCATTCTTCCATGTTCATAACATAACAGTGTGTGGTGATGATGAAAATATGCTAAAATGCCTAACAGTACACAGGCGATTACAGATCTCTTCCCCAGTACTGTGTGTGCGTAACACAACAGTATGCAGGGAGGTGTTTGTGGCCATAATTATGGAATGGAACACATAATATAGGACAATAAAGGCTGTGATTTGAAGAGAGGTTGAGTGACTCAGGGAATTTAGTGGGACATTTAGGTTCTCAGCTTTTTTTTTTTAATAACATAAATGTTTCTTGTTCTAACACTTTTTACTGTAGGGACAGTGATCAGCATTGAACTGTCAGCATTTGCAAACAATTACTCCAGAGTGGTTTCTGAGATAGCACAATTTATTTTATACTTAGAGTGCCGAATAAAAGTGATATCTCGGTTTCCATCATGTTGGAGCTCTTGGCAGATGTTGACATGCTAATAGTATCTACAATTTAAAGAGTCAGAAAAAGTAACATTTATATTCAAATAAGCTGCACAGTTTTGTATAGATACAAGAACTGATTCTCCTTTCACGCTAGTGTAAATAAATTAGAAGTACTATGAAGTCAGTGGAATTATATTTGTATAAAACCAATTTTAGGTCAAAATAAGCCCCATAATATATAAATATGTTCATTGTGTTCAGAATCAAACTTAACACACGTAGTGACAGTTAAAGGATTTGATAAATATTTTTCAGCTGACCACATACATCTTTGTCTACCTGTTCCAAACCCAAAATGAGGCTTTTTGATTGAACTTGGTGCTCCCACTTTCCCCCTCTCCCTCGATCTGTAAGTGTTCCAGGATTTTGGGAACAAAAATCTTGTTACACAGCAACATTTACTTCAGGGCTCCTTAAATACATCTGCACATTTTACAGATGCCCATTTGCATGGACAATTGCCTACACAGGCATGTGCAAACAGAAGTGCCTGGACATTTGGAAGATGCGAGGAAGCCTGCTGAAAGTTTGGTCCATTTCAGTAGACATTCAAGTTTTATTTAAAAAATATGTTTTATAATTCAAACCACAGGTGTGGAAAAACCAAACCAAACCAAACAACACATTTTGTAGGTGTCCCCTGAAGACTTCATTCACAAACCCACAGACCACCTGGAACAATGATCAATTCTCTCCATGCTCACTGTATAGTTTGTCAGCTGTGGCTAACCTGGAAGGTTTGTGCAGTATAATGGAAAGTAGCAGGACTTAACACAGAGTGTCAACCCAAGAGTTTGTGATTTGAATTATCTTTAAGCATACAGTAAATTTTGTTTGCTAAAAAGTCTTCAACAACTTCCAGAATTAAACTGAATTATGGAGTACATACTGTATTTACTATAATTAACATGTATGCACAAATCCAAGTTTAAAAAATGGCCAGCCCTATAAATGTGACACCTACAAACTGGGACAAATTAGAAAAGACCTCATCTCCCCCACAACCGATAACACTAAATTTGCTACTTTTGTAACTACAAAAAAGTTATCTTTACATCTTACATGTCCTATTAGCTAAGATACGATGCAATATACTAATTCAATATGATTATTTTACATGGGTACTAATCATAGCAGAGCTCATTTCACAGTACATTTCATACAGCTATACTTTTGAATACAATGCTTTGGTACCATGTTTGGCTTTTATGAGTTATGACATTCATTTTGCATTCTATTTTCAAATCTACTACTGTTGTTCCAATGCATGATTGTCCTCACAACTCCCTTCTAGGATGCAGGTCTTTTGTTTGCTTGTTTGTTTTGGCAAATAATTTCTGCTTGATAATATATCGAACTTGGTTGCCAAAATGCTTTGTGGCAAAAATTAAAAACTTTTTCATGTTATGGCATATAATTTTAGAAGTGAGCCCAAAGATTTGGCTTGGCTCTGCAGTTTTGTGTTACACTGCTACTTCAGGAGAGTTTTAATTCACTGTTTATAGATCAAGTAGATGTTACACATAATGAGCTAAAATCATGACCGTAGTTTGGGGAGGGATGGTGTGTGTGGGGGGGTATTCCTCCCCCCCGCTCAACTGCAAACTCAGGTAGGCACGGATTTTGTCCCCCCCCTCCATGCATAGCCCCATTGTCTGCATTGGTGATGCCCCCCCCAAATATAGAAGTCAAACTAGGCCTATGTCTAAAATGCCCCTGAAGCAGCAGGGTGGCACAAAACTGGAGAGTGGAACCCATGAGAAATTCAGTTTTCTTGAAGCATCTACTCTGCCACTTAATTTTCTGCCATCCATTCTGCCTCCAATACAAAAAGAACATAGGGTAAGGAATAACCTCATGCTGACTAGGGGATGGACTATATGACCTAAGAGAATTCTTCTATCTTCAATTTCTGTGAATCTGTGAGTCAACTAATGTCTGGGCTGTCTTGCCTTTTATGTGTAATCATAGATGGATAATTTCATTTTGGCATAGAGGAAAGTACATATGTTATATAGGAGATTATCAAAGTACCAGAAAAACAACAGTGGAGCCAAAAAACCTTTCAAAATAGAAGACACACAGTGAGGACCTCTACATATTAATATACTATATATATCAGAGTTGGTCACATTGCTCGTTGAGAACAATATTAATTACCAATTTTAAAATAAAATGTGCCACTTTTTTCTATTGAAAAATAATTTGGAAATCAATTGTTGAATAGATCAGTTACTTTTAAATGTTTACTGAACAGTTTAGACAACTAGTTCTCAGAGTATGGTTTGCTTGCAAAGTGTTTGCATTGACTATTCACTTTTGTTACTTGTATACATGTGTTCTACGTATAGTAGCCTGAGTCACACAGGACTATTGTTTTTGCTCCCCGATGGTATGAGATGGCTGTAACTTTTTTTAAACTGGAAAATAATGAACACCACATTTATTGCAGAATCATCATTCTTGTCATTTTCTGTGTGTGGGGGGGGGGGGAGGGGGGACCACACAGAGCCTACTATGATTTACATATAAGATATTGAATACTCAGCAACAGCCTAAATATTTGTGAACAGATAACATAACCCTAGGAATCACAGAAAATTGAACTCAGGTCTTGGATTTACCAATATATTTCTAAAGCAGGTTGTTTGGTATTCTACTAGTTCTTTTATTTCAAGCATTTATTTGGAACAAAGAACTGATCTTAATATAGAAGAAGGATCAGTTCCTCAACAGCACAGAGTCATTGCAACCTTAATGTGAACAAAGCAAATATAGAATTAACCGTATCCTTCTCTCGATCTGCAGGTTTTTAAGACTAACTCTTTAAGGTCCTTGCTAGTTATGCATGGGGCAGTTCTCTTAGACTTGTTCTACATTTGAGCTTGATGAAGATGGAAAATACTATATGTAAAGACCCCAGGCACTCCTTGCTTACCCATTACATTTTTGCACAGGCCCTGATGAAATGCGGTATAATGCAGAATAGGACTGCTGTCAGACAGGCAGAGTGTCATACTAGCATAGGGATTTATTGAAGTGGCAGACAGAATAGAGAAACAGGGATTTTGTTTGCTGCTTTAAGAGATGCTGACCTTGAAGAGTTGGGTTTTCTTAGGGCTGGTCCACACTAACCCCCCCAGTTCAAACTAAGATACGCAACTTCAGCTACGTGAATAACGTAGCTGACGTCGAAGTACCTTAGCTCGAACTACAAAGTACTTACTGTGGGTCCACACGCGGCAGGCAGGCTCCCCCGTCGACTCCACGTACTCCTCTTGCAGAGCAGGAGTACTGGCATCGACAGTGAGCACTTCCGGGATCGATTTATCACGTCTAGACAAGACGCGATAAATCGATCCCAGAAGATCGATTGCTTACCGCCAAACCCGGAGGTAAGTATAGACGTACCCTTAGAGATGAAGTATCAGGGTAAAAGCCATCTAAAATCCATCCCGGTTTCCTGTGTGGATATGGGAAGCTATTGCACTATACTCTTTCCTTTCTGTGTTCTCTGGGGGCTATTGTTAGGATCACCCACCAACTCCACAATATACTGGCCTAGAGCCTCGGCTGCAGCCAAACACTGGAAAAGTAAAAGTGACTTTCAGCCATGTTTTTGTACTCCTGATCTTAGGGCTGTTGTGAGTTGGTCCAGTCCACAGGAATGAGAGAGCAGTCTCAGGGCTACTCTAAATGACATCAGCTGCCAACAGCTCCAAGAGGCCATTCTACCATCCAGAGATTATTAGGGCACAGGTAAGCGCTGGACCTGCCCCCTATACCAAGAGCAGCCTGAATGCAGCGAAGAATCTGGGTCTTTATCTCATGCTAGGTTCTGTCTACCTTACAAGGCGCATTTGTATAACAGTTCTGAATAGACTGGAAAAGCATCAGTGGTTTATCTGGATTTCTTTTATACAGTAGGCAACATGCCCAATAAATCTTATCACTGCGAAGCCTAATTTGTAGAACACGATTGTACTTTCCTCGAGCAGCAAACTTCTAGATGAAAATGTTTTTTTCTATGTAGGCATCTCTCAGGTTGATAAAAGGACGACCTACATTGAAATGTGATGTGCAGAACACACCTCATGCCTTGTTCTTAAGGACAAAGCAAACAATGGTACTGAACATTCTCTTTGAAAACTCTTAAGACTAGATTGTTTAAATCAGAAACTCTAGCTTCCCCTTGGAAATGCTGCATGTAATCTGACCTCTTTATTGGTTCCCTCTTTTCTCTCTGATGGAAAGAACCTTCCCAGCATTGTAAGCGAGCATATTAGCTACTCACAAGCTTATGCTGAAGGAAGGAAGGGCAGCTTTCTAATTCAGTGCAGAACTAGGAGTCTGGAGACATGAGTTCTATCCCTGACTCTGACATACACCTCCTGGAAATCCCTTTAGGTTTGATTCTGATCTCACACCAGTTTTATGCTGCCAATGAATACTGTGGAGCTACTCCTGATTCTCACCAGAATAAGTGAGAGGAGAATCAGAATTAGTCTCTCTGTGCTCCAGCTTCCCCCTCTGCAGATAAGATAAGGAGATGAGATTTCTAGTTCAAAGTGATGGTCTGAGGCTCAGTCCATGGATCCTTGTAAAACTGTCTGGTTGGCTCCTCATTATCTGAAACTCTTTTTATCTTATGGAATGAAGGGATAGCCAAAACCCCGGGTTAAACGGAATTGTACAGTATGCAAGACCAGCAAACAGCCTGTCTCTCCATTCTGGACCTGCTCTAGTGCTACACAAATTGACCCCGATTTTCTTCTTGCTTACACCAATTTTACTAGTGAGTTACTCTTAATGTACTCCAGTGCAATAGAGGCCAATATACCAGCCCCAAAGTGTTTACTTGCTGAATGGGCCTCAGAGTGCATAACACTTTTTAAATTCCCATGTGTGGATTGACAATCACTTGACAAATGAGCTGCTCATACAATGCATACAATGGAACCCTCTTGTAGTGTAGTCATAGAACAATTTGACTATAAGCAGATATATAGGAAGAACTGCAGTTTTACTATTGCAATACATTGACACAATTTATAGCTGTCATTATGATCACTAATATGGATCTATAACATGGGCATGACCCACTGAAGTCAGTCTGTCTCTCTGTCTTAGGGTTTTATACTGCTTTCCACATAAAATCAGTAGCAATAATGAAGTCCCTATGGGATGTTACGGAGTCTCCGGCACTTCCCTTTTTGTGGTGTCAAAACTCTGCTTAAGGTAGAGGTCTTTTAGGAATTTAGGGGTTGAAGAGGGTGTCAGCGTTGTGAGTGTCATTCTTAGGGTGAAAAGGCTATTCAAAGAGGAAAGTTTTGCAGTGTTTCCTAAAGAGGATTCAATTCAGACTCTGTATTCAATAGACAGATTTACTGAGTTCAACATGGATCAAGTCTCAACTGCACTATCACTGGTTCCTACTGTCTTATTAAAAGGCTGATATAGGGGCTTTTAAACACCAAGAGGTGTGTGGTACGCCACCAACTTTCCATGCTCAGGTACCTGTATTAACAACAAGATGGAGTGATATAGGGAATTCTTTATTCCGTGTATCTCCACCTGCCTCAATAATATTTAGTATACTTGTTTCCTTGGTGCCGGAGGTATAGTGATGTACTCTTGGCAGAGACATTTAAGCTTCACAACATTGGTATAGGTTACAAGAGATTTTCGGTTTTTAGGAAAGGAAACTCACCAATTACAGTCAACTCCGCACTGGTGAAAATGACTCCATGTCTGTTTTCTGCTACACACTGATACATGCCTGCATCTGACAGATTCACATTTGTTATTGTAAGTGCTCCATGTTCTATCTGAATTCTGTCCTGTAGAACAACAAAATAAATAAGGAAACCCCACCTTAGAATTTATATGTTACAGCAGCTGTGTCATATCTGATATCACCGGGGACAAGAAAAAAATAGTAATATGAACAATTTACATGCTACAATCTATTTGTCTGTCAACTAAATTTATATCAGGTTAGACGTTAAATGGAAAAACCAATATTGTAGTTGGTAAATGCAATTTAAATTGGAGGACTCTCCCTTGAGTTCTCATTGATTTAATACCTAAACCATTCAGATTAATATCCCCTTCAAAGAGATAAACTCGAATCTAAAAATGCACTTCTGTTTTAAGGTAGTGTATCATGGTCAAATACATTCTTGCGAGCATTTAAAACAGTTGAGTTATTAGCCTGTAGGCCTCTGAAGGTTAATAGGAATAATAATCATCTTAGGTGGTGCAGGGAGAAACATTTAAAATCAGCTGCAGTTTACTGGGGGAAAAATGTAGATGTTAATAATTTAATGATCCTTTACTTTATTTCTGCCACTAACGTGATTTAAGAACAAGACCATCTGCTAGTGACCAGCATGAAGTAAAATTAGCGTGTGGAACAAAAGACTATGGTATCATTTGTCAGCCTAAGGATATGGAACTCATGTTATCAATTTTAATAAGTACAGCAAAATGTTCCCTCCCCCCCTGGGAGTTCTGCCATTTTAAAAAAATAAGGAATATAAAGAGCTATTGGCTTTCTACTTGGCTGCAGGGTGGCAATTTAATGTTTGTGCAATCTTTATTAGAATTTGATCAAATCTAGGCAGCCATGTCCTTTCACATTAAGTGGAGGGAGAAAAATGCAGGCTACCCTGATAACCCTTTAGTAATTTGCTTTAGTTTTGCTGTATAATTGAGACAATCCTGGGACTCAAAGTTGCCCTCTAGTGAGAGAAGGAGTGGGGCGGGGGGAGAGTGAGCTTTATCCCACACTTCTATGGATTGCTAATCTGTAGGCAGTTCTTCATGGCACTGCTAATGGCAGGTCAAGTCTCTGGTTGCCTGTACAGGAACAAATCTGAACAAGAGGAATTGGATTATTGTTTAGAGACTGGAGGAAATGCCAAAGTTTCATTAACATTTGAAGTTCAGCTGAAAACTATCGAATGAAAATCATTTTATGTCCTAAAACCCCATGGTACCTGATTTTACTGGGCCTCTCGACCATCAGATTAGTATTATGAATTACTCTTTCCACAGAGCTATAGATACTTGTAATAGTATAATTGTTTCATGTAACCTGTTTGCCCTAATATAAATCTCTTCTGAACCTGTCCTGAAGCCTTCCTCATCATCCTACAGAAAGTAAAGGACTATTTTTCTTCAATACAGGAACTCAATGTCATACAATGGCAGTGACTCACGAGGGTAGAAAATATGCTCTAGCTTGAATTTTAAGGGTCCACCACTGTTTTCACTTCTATTTCAAAGGCAGTGAACTATGCAGACATGAAAAAGCTGCCAAATCAGCAGAATCCATATAGAACATTCTGCAAAAGGCCACCTCGTTCAAAGAACACAGGCATTAGACTTCAGCAATGTTCTTACCCGAGGTATCAATGGTTCACCATCCTTTAGCCAGCTGTATGAAGGCTTTGGTCTCCCATTTGCTTTACACTCCCAAAAGATGCTTTCTTCTATAGCTTTGTGCGCATCACTTATTTTCTGAATCCAGTTAGGTGGTGCTGCAATGGAGAAAGTAATGAATAAAACCATGTTTGTAAACAAGAGTCTATTTTCTAGATGCCAGCAAACCCCCAAATAGCTTTCCTCAAAGAATCACATATTTAATACCATTGGATTCGCTTTGACGATTTTTTTCCCCAGGGGTCCAATTCTGCTTCTTTTGAACTCCATGGGAACAGGATCAGGACCTAGTTTCCCAACTTTTATTTTTAATATAAGTATTTAATAAAAAAAATCACATCTTCAGAAATGAAGTACTTCAGCACATGAGAAGTGCCGTTGAAATAAACGGGACTCCTGGCATGCTTGAAGTTAGTGCTTTCCTGATGTTTTCACGAACTGGGCCGAAGTGGTGTGCTGGATTGCAGCTCTTGATCAAAACCCTTTAAGCTTTGGGAATATTAGGATCTACATTCAAGCACTGTACTCAGTCATGCGTCTGTAATGGGCCTAAATTCAAATTTTGGATAGTTGGTATTTAGATTTAATTGCAGATCCTAATACCACATCTTGGCCCCTTGCTAATTTAGGGACAGATCCTGCAAAACCTGAGCTACTCATGTGAAGAAAGGATACATGTGCAGAAAAAGGCATCTCATGTCAATAAGGGTTCAGAGGATTGGGACCTTAAAATAGTAGCTTTTAAAGTACTGACTTCACATACTTAATCTTCTAAATAGATCTCTGTGAAAACTGGCGTTTGTAGTTCGCAGGTGTCTGTATAAACCTTTTTCTAGTTTTGTGTCAGGTATGTTTTCACACCCTGAGATTATCCATACTCAAAACTGAGAGCAAACTTCTGCTGTAACTCAAGTTTTGCTGAAACCTTGAAAAAAAACTGAGTTTATGTTATCCCCACAAAGCCACATTGGCGCAAGTTTGTCTCTAGTTCACTGCACAAAACCCCAGTGACCCTTTCAAAAAAACACAGTCTGAGCTTCAGGACTGTACTAAAATCAGATGTGTTTCAGGATTTTCTTAAAGATAGATTTGCCCTATTTTAAAAGAACAAACACAACCTGAAAGAATTTAAAAAAAAATATATTACCAGCAGAGGTCTCCAAGAACCTGGATAATATTTTTCTATACTTTCCCTCGATAATCAGATAAAACAATTAGGATTTCTCAAACAAAAGACAACAGCTTTATAAATCCCGTTTAGACTGAGATGAGGGATCAGAGAAAGGTTTGACAGAATAGATGAAAAAAACAAACTTGCTAACAAACACCAAACGTTAAGTCGAATGGAAAGTTGACATCACTACACTTTACCGCTGTGTCTGTCTTTATATGTTCCTGCTGATAGACCCAAGAAACCTCAAAGAGCTGGGATACTTTTTTAATGTTCTGTCTGGGGAATTAGTCGCAACTGATGTTGCTGTTCATGACAGATATGCACCTAATTCCACATATGCCACATTGAATATTTCCCCTCCCACTGTGTCTATAAACAACAAACCAAAGGGGAAAAACACAGAAATTTGCATAGAATCTTAAATACACCACAGAAATACTCAGTGGGGATTACAAAAGCAGAAAGGCAAACTTAATATGGTGAAACAATGTTAACGTAGAATTTAAACAGACCTCACAACCAAAAATGGAGAGGTGGACAAGGTTTACCCCTTCCCACCTTTCCTACTGTTATACTTAAGGCGGGGCGGGAAAAGTTTGTGGCCCAAGGGCCACATCAGGTTTTTGAAATTGTATGGAGGGCCTGTTAGGCTGTGCCTCTCCAAACAGCCAGGCGTGGCCCGGCTCCTGCCCCCATCCGAATCCGACCTCCCCCGCTTCTTGCCCCAATGGACTCCCCCCAGGACCCCTGCCCCATCCAACCACCCCTTCTCCCTGACCTCTGCCAGAACCCTTGCCCCTGACTGCCCTCTGCCACCCCATCCAACCCCCCCTCTCCTTCCTGACTGCCCTCCGGGACCCCTGCGCCCCCATTCAACCCCCCTCTGACCAACCCCTATCCACACCCCTGCCCCCAATCACCACCCCGAACTCTCTTGCCCTCTATCCAACCCCCACCTGCTCCCTGCCCCCTTACTGCACTGCCTGGAGCACTGGTGGCTCTACAGCCGCACTGCCCAGAGCACCAGGACAGGCAGCCGTGTCGCCTGGCTGGAGCCAGCCACGCCACCGTGCAGCTCAGAGCACCAGGTCAGGCATCCCCGCTACCCAGAGGATTGCGCCGGCTGCGGGGGAGGGGAGACAGCAAGGGAGGGGCTGGGGGCTAGCCTCCCAGGCCAGGAGTTCAGGGGCCGGACAGCAGGGTTCTGCAGGCCAGATGTGGCCCGCGGGCTGTAGTTTGCCCACCTGTGACTTAAGGCTTGTTCATAACATGCATCCCAAGAGACATAAAAAGGGGAGGCCGTGAAACATAGCAAGATGGGTGGCAACTGTTTAGCACTGTATTGAATAAGACATGAAGTAATGAGTTCCAGCATACATTCCTTCTTTCAGTGCAACAGGTTCCAAGATTTAATGCTATTTACAAGTTACAGCTGACTGCACAATTTGTTTACAGGGCTACTGTTACTGTTAGCATCTAACTCATAACTTTGAAGAAAACCTTAGGATACCCTTTGTTATGAAAGGTGCTCTATAAAAACCTCCTTTTTGTTTTGTTCATTTCCCATTTCCCAATAAAACAAGTTGCGCTTTTGAAAAAATAGACAAAATAATCAAAAGCAGCTCTCACATTATGAAGAAAATCTACATCATCTGTACAGTGTGCTCTGTGGCATAGTTATATTGGAATGTCACATATAAATGTCTCAGGTGAAATATAAGAACTCATATTCTATAATAGGTGAGATTTTAGATCTTTCTCTGTCCTTTTGTGGCTATCAATCTTACATTCCTTGCATAAGCAAAGATTTCACCCATGCAAATGGCAGCTTTTTGCTTGTCCAGTCCTGGATTGAAGGACTGAGCCAGTGTTTATTAACTGGAAGGAGAAATCAGATCCCTACTTTTAGAACGTTCCATTCTTTATTTTATTCAGGTTACCAAATCTTAAATCTTAATGCAAGTAATTGCATCGAGACTCACACTTCTGATACTGGAAATGATCCAAGCAGCTACAGAAGCTATTTATTTCAATCTCTTGTGCAGCACCTGTGAGCCACAGGCTTGAACCATACTCCAGTGTTCATCCATTCTAGTTATGTGAACTGGTTAAACTTTTTATCCTAATGCTATTTATGATGCAGACAGCTATAGTGAAAGCTTAGTAGGTCAATAATAAATCTCAGTGACAACAGCAGGGCCCTTTGTTTCACAGGAATGCAGTTCTGTGCTTCTCTTTGGGAGACATTCCTAATTAGGTCAAACTCTCCATTGAACCACTTGTTCTAGAGAATACAAGACATTCTCCGAATTTAGTCTTATGTAAAACGCCGAGGCTGGTTCATGAAATAGGTGTGTTTGAGCCACCAGGACCAGCCGCCATAATCTAATGAAATGTTGACATCCTCCCATTGGGGGTCATACAAAGAAGCAGTAAAGTGATACAAAGCTTCAAGCAGGCTAATTTTAAAAAACAGAATAAGGGTGTAAGGCCAGGTGTACACTACAAACTTTTAATGCCAGAGCGATGTAGGTCTGGGGTGTGAAGAGGTGCGATTTGTGACTGACATGGCTGTGCTGGCAACAGCTGCTAGTTTAAAGGCAGCTATATTGAAAAAACTCCTCCATTGTTAGTAGAGCTCCTTCCAGACCCCTGAAAACTCCTGAAGGGAAAAGCTAGGTCATTCGAAATCATAAAAGCAGCGTGGAAGCTAATTTAAGAATTATATTAACATCGCAAGAAATTAGCATATGTCACATCTATGAGAGAAAGGGAAAAAAAAGGCAAGAAAAAAATACAAAAATGGTTGAATGGATGGATACGAGTATTCTTGAAAGAAAAGAAATCCATCTTAAGTGATGGAATCAGGGCCTGGATCTCAGTCTCTGGCAGGTACAATGTAAAGTGGAGATTACGGGACACATTTCCGAAGCCCTGCTCACCTTTTACCACATTCAAAGGTTGAAAGGTGTAGTTTAGGACATGTAGAGAGCTAAGTGAGTAACTATACTCAGATTAGGGTTACCAATTTGGTAATATTTAAAAACCAGCCACTCCACTAGGAGTGCGAGAACCTCCCTTGCCCCGCCTCTTCCCCATGAGTCCCCACCCCTACCCTGCCTCTTCCTCCAAGGCCCTGTCCCGGCCCGGGCTCTTCTCCCAAGGCTCCACTCCTATCCATGCCTCTTTCCCCCTCCTTCTCCTCACTCACTGCTTTCCCCCTCCCACCCCCCAGCCCCCGCCCGGGTCAGGAGGGACTTGCCTGCTTTGCCGGGGTTGGGAGCTGCAGCTGCCTGACGCAGGTAGGAGGTGGCCTTGGCGGAATAGGGGCTGGAGTGGGTGATGACCCAGTGCCACCCTGCCTCCCCCGCCCACGGTAACTGGACTCTGGGTGTTCTGTCAGTAGAGCTGACCGGACACTGTCAGGTCCCCTTTTCGACCAGACTTTCTGGTCATAATCCAGGCACCTGGCCACCCTAACCCAAATAAGTGCAAATATAGTCTGGCACTTATATGTCGAAATAACCTAAGCTGTGTTGCCATTATTGCACAAATTGCCAAAAAGGAGACACAGGTAAGGCTGGACCTGAAATCCTGCACTAAAAGGGTTAAAAGCAAGTTTGAAGATGAAATAGACAAAACTAGCAAAAATGTGTCTGGAGCCAGAGCAACTAATACACATATTGTTAGATTCACAATTGCTGTATATAGACTTCAGTGGAGCTAAGGCAATTTATAGCAGCAGAGGACCTGGCCCAGGCTGTGTAATTCATCATTAACAGCAGATACTCTATTGAAGGGCTAGAAGACTGCCTATTGTTGTATCTATCCTTTATGAAAACGCTGAAAGTGAACCTGGGAATCAGACCAGAGAGCCAAACACTAGTACTAACTAAAACAGCTGAACAAAATAATTAACAATAA